CAGGCTGAAACGAACGGGGCCTGTAAGCCCTAAGTTTTAGGCTTTTAGGCTGAATGTCCGGGACGGGCCCTGCAGGGCCCGTGTGGCTACGCAGTATGCCACMSCYYCSCCDCCTTGAAGAACCGAGCTTACCTGCGARRGCGAAGCTGTCTGTCTGAGGGAGGGACCACAGTCCGGGTGGGAGGGGCTGGTCGTGAAGCGTCCTGAGCTAACCTCCGCTTTTCATAATGCGCGTAGATCAGCGGTGCGGATGCTTTCAAATCTGTGCCTGAAATCCACCGAGTGTCGTTGCGATCACATGCTTTGAATGTGACTTTGTACTGCCGCGGCTTGCTGCCGTACTTGCGATCGGAGATGACGCGGTCAACTTCCTGATGGCCATCCATAGAAGGAGGGTCCTGCGATCGTCGGTCCGGAAAGTCGTCGCTCTTGGCTGGCGTGTATGTTGCCAGCTTCGAGGCGTGGAAGACCGGATGGACCGTCAGATGCTCTGGAATGTTGATCACAAATGAAGGGCCATCGGGCTCATCGCCCGCGGCTGCTGTCACAGACCAAGGTCCAAACCACTTGGGAAGCAGTTTGCGTGAAACATCCTGTTCCAGTGCAAACACTTCCGCGGACGCCCAAACAAGATCACCGGCGCGGATGGGACATGGTACGCGACGCCTGTTGGCTTGCTGCTGCATGCGAACTTGAGCCTTTTGCATATTTGCGCGGGCTTGAGTCAGCAATTCCCTGTACTTCCGGACGGAAGCGGGAGAGCAGGCAGCGTCAATGTCGGCTGGTCGAGGGAGGAGAAGGTCTGCGAAGATCCAGCCTTTCCGTCCACCGTGGTGCAACTCGAATGGAGTCACGCCGATCGCCGGATGCACCGAAGTGTTGTAGGCGAACTCGATGTCGGGGAGGCGGTCAACCCAATCTTTCTGGTCCGGACGGATGAGCGTATGAAGCATCATTTCAGCGGTTTGACGTGCCCGCTCCGTCTGCCCGCTCCATCTGCCCGCTCCGTCTGCCCGCTCCGTCTGCCCGCTCCGTCTGCCCGCTCCGTCTGCCCGCTCCGTCTGCCCGTGTGTCTGAGGATGTCGAGCCGAACTTGGTTTCATTGTTGTGCCGGACTCCTGCATGAGAGCAGTCCAAAACGCCGACATGAAACGAGTGTCGCGGTCGCTGACAATGTCTTCTGGTACACCGTGGCCACAAATCCAACCAGTGTGCAGGAGGCGTGCCAGCTCGGGAGCCGTGGAGTAGTACTTGCAAGG